GCTTTCCGCCGGAGTTTACAGCTGGTGAACGCGAAGAAGAATAAGAATAATACTTAGGGACTCTTTGTAGTTGTATATTGAGTGGTAAATAATTCCATAAATGAGCAGCAAAATATGCTAAACTTGTTTTAAATAAATCAATTTGAGATAGGATTTTATGAATGAGTGGCCTTGTTAAAAATTAAACTTTTACTAAACAGCTGAAGTCTTAGATGTTGGTAAAAGAGATTGAGATATGATTTTATGAATGAGTGGCTTTGTTAAAAATTAGACGTTTACTAAACGGCTGAAGATTTAGATGTTGGTAAAAGAGACTGAGATAGGATTTTATGAATGAGTGGCCTTGTTGTCACATACCGCTCGTGTCGCGTGTCTGTTTTAAGGATTGCTCCTTAAGAACCAACAGCACTCTGAAATAATAATGTTGAGGCGTTGGCTCGTATTGGTCTAAGGGAGATTCCGTGGCCAATATACGCTCAACTTATTTCAGGAGTAGATCAACTCAAGCTCTGGCACTACAGAATATCTAATATTCCTAGGCACAGTTGGCTGGACACCCACACTACTATAAAAAGATAGCCCCCAGGCTAACACAGATTACACTTATTAATCACACAAACATAAAAGCTAGACAGTTAGAATGGTGAAACAGGGACACCCAAGTCAGCCATGAAAATTTCTGAATGGATGTAATAATTTCAAAACACACACACACACACACACACACACACATATATATATATATATATATATATATATATATATATATATATATATATATATATATATATATATATATATATAAAGACAATCAAGATGGTTTCCAGTGAATGGAGTTCAGGACTTAACGTCACATACACCACCTTCCTATCTGCACCCGCAGACATACATTCTATCCCGTTAGTACATGTATATATTTTTTATCTCCACAATCTGCCCATTCCACAAACTGTGTTGTCGTGCTAAAAATAACCTTTGACTCAGAGCGCCTAGCTTGCTTATGTCACAGCATCTAGCCGGCTGAATGATGACCCAGCTTACATATGTCGGCTAGTCGTCACAAACTCCGTTGTCTGGTTAGAGAATAATTAACTTGCTGGGTTTAATATATTAATAATGGTGTGGGTCATGTAGAGCACAAACCATTAGCCTGCGAAGGGAAAGGTTTGATTTTAGGGGCTTGAGTGTCTGGACATCAAGAACGGCCAAGTTCTGTGCGGTCACACAGCTGAATCTTCCCTCCCTGCAGCAGTGGCCAACTTTAAAGAGACATATATTATGATACTCGTAAACTATAATCAACTTACTCAAGCTTAGGAATCCTTCAAAGATTAGACTGGTATTTTGAAAGCGCCAAAGTTTAATGAGAGAATTGAATTGTCTCTCGACACCTCAGAGGTCTGGCAAAAGAATGCCCGCCCCAGATTCCGCTTCTTCTTCTTCTTCTTTCGTTCGCATGAAATAAATTGTCTATATCTGCAAAGCCGTCTCTTGTATGAATTTCACTGTCTTTTGTAATTCACTAAGCGGCCCGTAAAGTTTGACTTCCACAAGTGTCTCTTTTGGCCAAATGTTTTGCCTGAAAGCGTTGAATATGGGACAGTCTTGAAGGATGTGATCTGTTGTTTCAGGTGCCAGTCCACAAGTACACATGGCCGATTGGCCAATCTTAAATTTGTTGTACATGTGGGAGCGAAGTCTATTGTGCCCTGTTCTAAGGCGAAGGATAATAACTTGCTCTGGTCTGTCCATAATATGGTAATCATCTTGTGCCAGTTTCGGTGGCATTCTGATTGATTTGATCATTCTCTTCTTCTGTTGATAAGATTCCGCTTCTAGATTGGCGTCTCTAGAAAATAAGTCCTGTATTCGTGTTCAAGGAGTAAAAAGGCTACTGCCGCTGCTACTACTACTGCTGCTTTTACTACTACTGCTACTACTACTACTAATACTATTGCTGCTGCTGCTACTACTACTACTACTGCCACTACTACTACTACTACTACTACTACTACTACTACTACTACTACTACTACTACTACTACTACTACTACTAGTGCTGCTGCTGCTGCTGCTGCTGCTGCTGCTGCTGCTACTACTACTACTACTACAACTACTACTGCTACTTCTACCACTACTACAACTACTACTACTACCACTACTACTACTACTGCTACTACCACCACCACCACTACTACTACTACTACTACTACTACTACTACTACTACTACTACTACTACTACTACTACTACTACCACTACTACTACTGCTACTACCACCACCACTACTACTACTACTACTACTACTACTACTACTACTACTACTACTACTACTACTACTACTACTACTACTACTACTACTACTACTACTACTACGACTACAGTTGACAGTAATATTGTGAAATTGACATGTCCGTCTCCACCCCACAGGTTGCCAGTTGGGAAAGCAGAAATCGTGAAGAGCGCAGTGAAAAACATAATCCATCGCTTCATTTACCACAGAAAGAAAGGTATTTCCCTAGATGTGAACATGAATATTTCTCTACACTGTTATTCAGTGGCCCAGTCTCGTGTAAGGTGAAACGCTTAAGCAGTTGTGTACCTTGATAACAACGGAAGATGTATTGAAGAAGTTAAATGTAGATTAACTCAAACAGAGGCAGCATTTTAGAAAATGAAGATATTTTATGCAATCTTTCTTTGTCAATTGAAACGAGAAAAAGAATTCTTATGAGCAGTATAAATCTGTTCCTGATATACGGAAGTGAATAATGGACAGGTGAACTATTAGGAATACATTATTTGGCAGCCGCAGAGGAAACAAGATCATGAAGATGACTTGAAAGAATCTAACTCATAAGAGAACTCATTGTCGACATCAGAAGGAGATAATCGAAATTATGTAGTCATGTCATGAGAAGAAGGAAAACTGGAGTGCATTGTGACGGTGGGAAAGTTGTGTGTGTGTATGTGTGCATGCGTAGTGTGTGTCTGTGTGTACTTGCGTGTGTGCGTGCGTACGTGTGTGCCTGTGTGTGCGGGCGTGTGTGCATGCGGATGTGTTTATATATATATAGAGGGGCGCAAGCAGAGAAAGACTAAGAGAGAAGATTATGGACAGTTTGATATTATGGCATGGAAGATTATCTGTGTCAGAAGTGATTGATAGTACACGAGAAAAGGTTGTAGATAGACATGAATACCAACTCACACAGCATGGACTTTTGAAGAAGAAGAAAACACTGTTATTGCTGCTTTTGAATTCTAAATAGAGGTTTCTGCTTCTAAACGGTCAAACCTTTTGCCTGGCACTTTGAAGGTCGTAGTTTAGTTTTCGGATGAGTCCTTTAGTTCATGTATGCAGTTTTTACCTGGGGAGGGGGTGGGATAGAGAGGGAGAGAGAGAGAGAGAGAGAGAGAGAGAGAGAGAGAGAGAGAGAGAGAGAGAGAGAGAGAGAGAGATGGGTTGAAAATAAACATGTTTTTTTGTGTGTAAATAAACCAATCAATACTCAGTGGATGAGGGATGTTAACATCATGCCAAAATATCCATATTGATGCCGGTTCGAACCCAATGTCACATATCACTCCTGTCACGTGCCTGAAATAAGGATTTCTCCTTCAGAACCAACAGCACTCAGAAATAATTATGTTGAGTCGTTTGGCTCGTATTGGTCTAAGGGATTCCCCGTGGCCAATATACTCTCAACTTATTTCTGGAGTAGGGCAACTCAAGTATTGGCACTACAAAATATATCTGTATATGAATACAATATTCCTAGGCACACTTGGCTGGACACTCCCACTACTTATTAAAGAAAGCTCCCAGGTTATGATAGTTCATTATCATAACCATGTTAACACATATATTTAAGATTCATACACACACAAATGCTAAACACTTAAAAAGGTGAAATAGAGACACCTAAGTCAGCCATGAAAATGAATGCATGTAATCAATACAACATATACATATATATAATAGTGAAGTAGATGCCAGATCTCAATAGCTGGATTCCAGAATACAATGTCCAGATTGCAAAGATAACTAAACAGTCAGAATGATCTGGAGATGACACAAATTCATCCTCTGGAAACATGGGAACTGTGAGGAATATAGCAACACATGGTATCAAACTGGCACTTATCCTCTTTCTATCGTTGATGCTTCCCTCAGCTCCTGATGATTCGACTGTCTTTGGTAACTCTGCCTCAACTGGATCAGATGGCGAAGGAGTACCTCACTATAAAGGACACAGCAACTGGATAGGCACACAGCACATGTCTCCCACTAGTCATTAGCAGCACTGTCCCTGAGCTACACACATGTTCTGGCACTGTAGGAAGTTTAGGGTATATGGCACCCCAAACTGACATCAATCTCCACACCTGGTAGTTGGGTGATAATTGGTAGGTAATAGGTTGATGGTTGGTTGGTTGGACTGTGATTCTTCTGCCCGCTCTTCACAAAGGTTTCATCCCAAGCATAGGAAAAGTCCTAGGCGCCACAGACCGCCTTTTAAAAATGAAATGTACTGGCGTCGATGGACACGTCTGAGTCCCAGGAAAGCCGGCAGAATAATACCGCTAAGTTTCAATTCAAGCGTTGGTAAGAAGTAGTTCCTTGTATACAGGGGCAAGGAGTAAATCGGTTTCCAAGAAACCTCAAATAACTCCCGTAATATTTATCCAATAGTCGCAAATTTGAAAATGACGCTAAGTCAAAGCAACTAGAAGATGTAGATATTATAATTATGTCCGATAAAGGCATATATCGATATAAGGGACTATATACCTTCCCGGACGAGTCTAAGTTTGAATGTTGTGTCGACCCCAGGTAAGACAGGTCTCGACTTTGTTAGGGTGATGCGTAATGGCTTATCATTCCACGACACCCAAGACACTCAAGCCACTAGGTATCACTGCTCTCTGTTACACAGTACTTCACTGTTATGCGTGTAGCCCAGTTTGCATCTACTTACATCAGTGTCTCACTTGCAGGTTTCAAGTACCCTTCGATGCTAGTCTCCGTGATGTTTGTTGCTGGATGTGTTATATATATGGTGAGATTCTTCTGGTTATCTTATCGCATTATCAACATCATCTCAGTCTCATTGTCATTTCAGGCTCACCATCATCTCAGTGTCACCATCATCTCAGTCTCATGGTCATTTCAGTCTCACCATCATCTCAGTCTCATTGTCATTTCAGTCTCACCATCATCTCAGTGTCACCATAATCTCAGTCTCATTGTCTTTCAGTCTCACCATCATTTCCGTCTCATTTTCATCTCAGTCTCACCATTATCTCAGTCTTATCACAGTCTCGTCATCATCTCAGTCTCATCATCATCCCAGTCTCATCATCATTTCAGTCTCATCATCATCCCAGTCTATCATCAGTTTAGTCTCATCATCATATCCTTCTCATCATAATCTGATCTCATTCTCACCATCGTCTCAGTCCTAGCATCATGTCGATCTCGTCATCATCTCATCCAAGTCTCAACATCATCTCATCTGTCTCATCCTCTCATCTCTGTCTCACCATCATCTTAGTCACATCATCATCATATCATCTCTGTCTCACCAACATCTCATCTTAGTATCACCATTATCTCATTCTCACCATCGTTTCAGTCTCACCACCTCAGCCTCTTCATCTCATATGTCCCATCATCATCTCACCTGCGTCTCACCATCATCTCATCTGTTTCATCATCATCTCATATCAGGCTCATATCCTCTTAGTCATATCATTATCATCTCATCTCAGTCTCACCAACATCTCATTTCAGTTTTATCATAATCTCATCTCAGTCTCATCATCATTTCATCTCAGGCTTACCATCATCTTAGTCTCACCATCATCTCATCTCAGTCTCAACATCTTATCTCATTTCAGTCTCATAATCTTTTCATCTCAGGCTTACCATCATCTCAGTCTCACCATCATCTCATCTCAGTCTCAACATCATCTCAGTCTCATCATCATTACATCTCAGGATTACCATCATCTCAGTCTCATCATCATTTCATCTCAGGCCTACCATCATCTCAGTCTCACCATCATTTCATCTCAGGCTCACCATCATCTCAGTCTCACCATAATTTCATCTCAGGCTCATCATCATCTCAGTCTCACCATCATCTCATCTCAGTCTCACCATCATCTCATCTCAGCCTCACCACCATCTCATCTCAGTCTCACCGTCATCTATCTTTAAAATTATCCGTATCATCATACACACTTCCACAATCATAATCCGCATCCTCTCACTCACCATCATCTGTCTTCTGCATCATCGTCAATATCATCCCCAACACCATCCCCAACACCATCCCAAACACCATCCCCAACACCAACACCATCCCCAACTCATCCCCAACACCATCCGTTTGATTGTGTCATCATAATCATTTCACCGTCATGATCATTGACGCTGTCTTCATTTGCCTGGGGTGACCCTTGAAATCCCCGCAACCAGGGAGTTTCGTTTTCTAGATAAACGAGATTTAGGTACTTATCACGGTGTATCTATTACAGTACTAATGAAGAAAAGAAAACCGTTTTCTACAGAATACCTTTGCTGTGGTTAATATCAGAACATTTGCCTTTACTTGACCTTGACCCAGTTTCAGATGCGTCAACCCGGGAGTCCAGGTCACTAAATGAACATTTCTGCGGTGTGATTTACTATAATCTCCCCATCCGAACTAGGTCACGGTCCATTGATAGATTTTTTAATACTCGTCTGCTGTCCAGGGCGGGGGGGGGGGGGGGGGGGGGGGGTGTGGGAAAAAAAGGGGAGACTTTTTTCGCTGGTCAAACTTGATTTCCCCGTTGTTGTATAAAGGGTTTAAAAATTTCCTTCCTCTGTGTCTAAAAATGTGAAAAATTTCCTTTCCTAGTCGTAAAAATGGGGAAAAATTTATTTTGTGGGAAATTTTTGAGACTTTGTTTTTTCAAAGGGAAACAAATTTTTGGACATTTTCTTTTCTTTGTGGAAAAGGTGAAAAATTCCTTCCCCGTTGTTTTTATAATGTGAGAAAAGTACTTCCTTGTTTTTGTAAAAATGGTAAACATTTCTTTGTT